AGGATTACACCAATCAACTTTAAGTTTGTAAATGAAAAAATGATTCTCTGCATCATTGGTTGATGTCACAGCTGCCTTAGCCATACATCAGAGTTCACCCAACTCCTACTTGTTATCTTATTACCCAGATGTGTTTTGCTTTGGTTGCAGCCAGTCAGTGCTTCTCTCAGCTTGTTATTTGTGCCTCTTTGTTCCTCTGTCCATTGGTCAGACACCCTGAGATCGATCAGTGACAGGTGATACGTGTCATCAGTAATTGATGTCCCTTCAGCACCTAGACTGAGAAAAAGGTTATTTCTGGATCTTGTGTGCCATAACAATGGCAAATACAAAAATGTGCTCCTCAGCCAGAATGCTTGATATATAGCTAGGCAGTTTGTCTTCAGTGTTAGTGTTTAGCTGTTTCCAGTACCTCCTTTTAGTTACGGTTGTGTTACAGGACCTGTCTTTCTTTCTGTCTGTACTACCAATTTACCCATGAGTCGTATAGTGCTGAATGAAGGTCTCTAACTGAATATAGAGCACAGCAGAGCAATTCACTGCCTATCCAATCTTTTAGGCAACAGCTTTTACTGGTTACTTTTATTGTTATATATACTAGTTCTGTCCAGGTATAGTCCGAGTCATTAAAATCACATAGATGTTCTCAGAAGGTGCTAAGAAGTGCTGCGTACCTGGACTCACATTCAGGTTCAGGTCCGGACTCAAGTCCAGAGGTTCAGGTTCAGGTCCGGACTTATAAGTCCGGACCTGAACCCATGGCTTGTGTCAAGTTGTGTGAGTAACTAAAGTGAACTTATTGTGAGCTAATTATCAATTGAAAATAAACTCATAATCAACTCAAATTCAAACTCGTCAGGTTTATTGTGCTCCCTTCCAACGTGTGTCTACATTTCTCTACAAATTACAAATGTAAAAAAAACACTTTTTGCCACTTAGTCTACAAATGACTTATGACAGCAACAGTGAACTACTACAAAGTTCAAACATTTATTTCATTTACCAAACTAAAGTAACCAAACAGTCCCTGAGCTGACTGAGCCTAAATCCCTAAAACGTTGCTGAAAGGTAGAGTGTAGAGTAGACTATACACATTACACTGTTACACACCTACTATACAGTATAGGCTACACTGTAGTGACTGACTGTACAGTCAGTGTACTGTACTGTCTGTACACCATGTATTTTCTACAACTCTACATGTGTACATTATACAGTACATACTACATGTTAGAAATTAAAATCAATGTTGATATGGCGTAATTTTGAATTAAATACACTATTTAATTTAAATCAGTTTTATTCTGAAAAAACCGGAAGTTCACACTATTAACTTAATACTTTTATTCTGAAAATTATTCACTTCCGGTTAGCATTAGCATGTGGCGAAATGCTACGTTTTCAAACCGTGAATCGAAGGTGAAATGACATGTGATGTTGTACACTGAGCACACTGGGATTAGCACTCATTTATTGACGCTGAATAACGTTTATCAGGGAATGTTTAAATAACCACAGACACCAGAATATACGTAAGTGCTAGTTTTTTTGCGAGTCCAAGTACTAGTTCCCGACGTTCCGGTTTTAACCGGACTTGAACCGAAACTTTTTACAAGTCCAGTACCGGTTCGGCACGAGGGAGCATATGGCACACTGTGTGTGTGTGGTGTGTGTGTGTGTGTGTGTGTGTGTGTGTGTGTGTGTGTGTGTGTGTGTGTGTGTGTGTGTGTGTGTGTGTGTGTGTGTGTGTGTGTGTGTGTGTGTGTGTGTGTGTGTGTGTGTGTGTGTGTGTGTGTGTGTGTGTGTGTGTGTGTGTGGGAGTGTGTGTGGGAGTGAGTGAATTAGAAGCACCAGGGGTTTATAGTCAGCTGTTAGTGTATTCTAGAACAGTGGTTCTCAACTGATCAGGCCTCGGGACCCACTTTTTCCTTAGTCAATAGATCGCGACCCGACATTTTGAACCACTCAAATCTATTCAACAAAAAATCGTGCAGTAAAATATACTCTTTTCAGCATACATTATTAATTAAAGTGAAGTACAGTGCATATATCCCGTATATCCCTTCACAGAACTAACGTATGCTTTTAAATAAGGTTTAATGAGATGATGGAATCAAAGCTGAACTGCATAACATAAAAAGGCCCACATGCTGAAAACCCAACCCCAGAAGGGGGGTCTGGGGGGATTCTCCCCCAGGAGATTTTTTGAAATACTAACTAAACTACCCATTCTGGTACACTCTGAGAAGAAAATAAATACATCTATTACTACCCGACATATTAATAATATTTTATGCCATTGTTTGTTTTTCACTTTGTTTTGACAGCTTGCTGCTCCTCACAGAGAGAAGAGCAAAGAGGAGAGAGTCTGTTTGACTTACTTTAAATTGTGGGTAAGGGTAGATAGCCCCCATTGTTCTGTGACATGCCAGTCATCAAACTGGGGGTCATATTTAATGATGTGTTCATTTTTATCTGAAGTTGTACCCATGGATGTATAAATAATAGTTCTACCGCAAAGTTATTTTCCGTGGGGACTTCCGGCAACAATCTTGATTCTGATCAAAGGCCAGAAGACTCGGAAAAACATCAGCAAAGATGTTTTATTGAGAAGATGATCACTACGTGACAGAAGTTTTCAAAACCATTCATGGTCTCCGGTACTTCTAGTCCAACGCCTATTGCATGCACAGCGTTAGAAAATCGGGCCTTCAAAATAAAAGTTTTTCTTCACTCACACATCTGCGACCCACTTGAAACGGGACCCACCGGCTGAGAACCACTGTTCTAGAACCCTGAAGGCAGGAGAGACTGAAAAGAGTCAAGGGAAGCTTATAAAAGTGAACAGCATTTAATTACACAAAAGATGCGGTGGTGTACAAAATGAAATGTGCGAGTGGAGGCGCTCTCCTCATCCGACGGTCAGTCCAGGTCCGCAGGTAGAAGAGGTCAATTCTTGGCTTGCTCTTCCTGTTGTCATCTGAGGTCTTCTCCCGGCGTCGTCGGGGGGCGGGTCCAATGCAATTCCTGCCTTTTTCTGTTATAATTCAATCATTCTGGTGTCTGGTTATTTAAACATTCCCTAATAAACGTTATTCAGCGGTAATAAATGAGTGCTAAACCCAGTCTGCTCAGTGTACAACATCACATGTCATTTCACCTTTGATTCACGGTTTGAAAATGTAGCATTTCGCCGCATGCTAATGCTAACCGGAAGTGAATAATTTTCAGAATAAAAGTATTACGTTAATAGTTAGTGTGAACTTCCGGTTTTTCAGAATAAAACTGATTATTTTAAATAGTGTATTTAATTCAAATTACGCCATATCAACATTGATTTTAATTTCTAACGCAGCCTAACGATGGAAACTACAGTGTACAGGAATCGGTCCTGAATGCAGCAAAAATAGATTTCCATGCCCTCTATAGCTTGGTTTCAGTCACGTGACTTCTATGACGCGCGAAATTCAAGTGGAGGTCAGGAAGTGAAAACCATAGACTGTATATATAAATGGACGTAGGGTCCGTGACGTCACCCATAGGATTCTGCAGAGTTGCTGTGAAGCCCTTAGTAGGCGGAGTCGGCCACTAACGGCTCGACGGTGTCGTCAGAGTCTAACTCCCGCCTTCTCCAAATAAGGGCAAAGAGGCGGAGCTGAGGCGGAGCCGAGGCCGGACAGGGCGGGACCTGCTGCCAACGAGCGTGACGTTCGAGTCCTAGCTCAGGCTAAGAAGCTAAGCTAACATGCTCTCAGTATCAATCGAATGTAAAATATGATTGATGAAAGTAGTAAATCGGTCAGATTTGACCCGAAGACAACAGGAGGGTTAATGCCATATTCACTTAGTAACGCATGAACAACTTTTACAAATATTTCTATATAGTCTGTGTTGGTAAATGTCATCTAGGTTGCACATTTCCTGCTGAAATACATGCATACCAAGTCACTGCGTGGCACTTTGGTTTTGACAAAACAGTGTAGTTCCACTATATAAACGTTACATTCATAATCAAACGAGACAATCTGCAAGATAATTAGCTATTTGGTATTATTCTTAATGCTCGTCATTCACACGTTAATAAAATAAAAATAAGTACCGATACATAGCAGAATAATTGTGGCGGTGTTCAGCTTAATAAGCCTTGCTCAATATCATTTATTTAGCTAATACTACAGCGGGCTGCAGGCGAATCAAGTCCGCGTTACGATGCATTCCTTGATCTCCAGTTATAACGCCGGACTCCGCCGCTGGCCGAAGCTAACGGAGCCCCAGGGTGCTAGCTACGGCCGCCGGGACGCGCTAGCGAGCTAGCACCCTGCAGCCCCGTTAGCTTCGGCGGCGTGGACTCCGGCGGCCCACCCCTTTTAACATTTGCTCCCGTTTAGCATTATGGGCGTCATAGCCATATAGTATAAAAGTCTTACCCAAGGCTGAATCATAAACTAAACTGTATATATGTATAAAGGGTTACGTCCTTAGCTGGCTAATAAGCTACATAACAGGCTAAGCTAACAAGCACACAAACACCTGCTAACGGGGTTAACATGTATAATATTATCATTTTACTTACCGAAAAAAGCTGAAAGTAGACTTCTTGGAAGATCTGTTAGTATTCAAGCGCACAGCACGACATTTTAATTATCTGGTATTTGTAACAATATTCCCTAACAGGCACGATCACCACAAACACAGCTAAAGGATCAAGTACAGTAACTACAACTAACTAACGTTGTAGCCTCTATGGTTGTAGCCTAGCAGATTGGACAAGTTGCTGTTAGCTGACAGTGAGACACGTATCTGTCAATCAAAGTGACCACGCCCTAATCTATGCACAAACTTTAAGACCTAATATAAATATAAAGGGTCGCGTTAGAAAACAATTCACTCACAGATCCATAATCATGAAGGTGGAATCTAACTATATCGATAATAAAATGTATGGAGCCAGGGGTAGAAACATGTTTTTTTCTGCTGTAAAATCGGGCATTTTAACATGGGGGTCTATGGAAATTGCTCCTTTCTGCAGCCATCGCCTTTCGGCCAATATATGAACTGCAGTGTGTGGCACTTCCGTATTGGCTTCCCGGCTCTACCCCACAGTTTGCCGCTTGGTGAAAACGCAATCATTCATCAACGCAGGAATCATGGAGGACACCGACTATGTCAAACAATTAAATGAACCTGCACGCCGCAGATATCGTGAAAAAATCACAGCACACATCAAACAACAAATGTCGCCTTGTTTTTGCCCGGGTGAGTGTTAACTACCTATACCTTCTTACCTCTAAGTAGCATTATTAGGAGACATCTAGCGAGCTAACTTTAGCTACATGGACTCATGTAAGGCAGTGTTACGGCTGTCACCTTGCCTTCAGCATTAACTGGCCTGTGAGTGTGTTGTGTGTGTATATATGTGTATGTTTGTTATGTGTATGTGTTTAACTTAGGATATATTGTGTTTTGTGTGTATAGACAGCTCAGAGCCTTTGAACAGCCTGCACGTTGTTTATATCACTCTATGTTGAGGTTAATATTAAAAACAACCTCTTTACCAAGACCATCTGGTTATGTGTTGCTTGTGATGTTGTTAAATGTATGTTATCAACTCGCAAGTTGTGAACTGGAGCTTCAATTGTGTAGGTCAACCATTCCCAGAGGTCTGGAGAAACACCATTAAAAACGTGGATTGTAGCTAAAGAAGATGGAGAGGTTGTTACAGCACACTGTAACTGTATGGCTGGGTAAGCCATAAAATAAATATCCCAACCCAAAGCATATTTGACACAACACTTAAGCTCAGACAAAATAATGCCTGCTATAATATTCATGTTATACCATTACTAGCTTTTACGATCAATCTAGTTATTCCAGTATGTCTCTGTCTATACAGTTTGTCAGAATCCTGCTCACATGTTGGAGCAGTTCTGTTTGCAATCGAAGCAGGTGTGAAGATGAGAGAGACTGCATCCTGCACCACTGAGAAGTGCAAGTGGCTAATGCCATCACATGTCAAAAAGGTATTCAGACCCCAGTGGTCAGTCAGCTGTGCATGCCGTCCTTGCCTGTCTCATTGTTACACTGCACCTACATGTATGTTCACATACATCTTGGTCTGTCTCTCACATGTGCAGATTCCTGCTGCTCCAGTTGCGATGATAGACTTTTCATCCGCAAAATCCAAAAAGCAAAAACTGGATGATGCCATTGCTGGAAGGACAGGTGAGAAGCACACATTTCAGCGTCCCACAGTCCAGGGTTCAAAATTGGAGCGAGGATCAGAGAGGTATATGCAGTTTTTCAAGACTTTGAGCAGAAATTCCCCAAGAAGTGCTGCACTGATGTCCAGGGAACCATATTACAGAGAAGTTGTCCCTAAATCTGTGAGCAAGCTACCTAAACCACTACCTCAGTATAGGACACCAGAGATGCTACAGCTATCCCCAACAGAGTTGCAGAATGCATGCCAGGACTTCAGACAGGAAGAGCTGACACAGCCACAGGTCCAGGCAGTAGAGGAGGAGACCAGAAACCAGAGCTTATCAGCAATATGGTTTAGCCAAAGAGCAGGAAGGATCACAGCCTCAAGACTGAAGCAGGTTCTACAGACTAGTCTTGATCAGCCATCAAAGTCCTTGATCAAGTCCATATGCTACCCAGAGGCATACAAGTTCTCTACAGCTGCAACAAGGTATTTATTAGGGATTAGGGAGCCAATCAGAAAAGCAAACTGTATACAGTTTTTCTCAGACGCGGAGGGATACCGACTTGTTGTGAAAAGTAACTTACAATTCTACCCGTGGTATACGCTGATTATATCACGTATATCAGTAAGTTACAGTACAAGTAACTTATAACTAAATTCATTATCATTACAAAACATGATTCACAAAATATTCAATGCATAAAAATTCAGAATGTGTGTGTGTGTGTGTGTGTCAGTCAGGTATGGATGCAAATACGAGGCAACTGCCCGAAAGCAGTATGAAGGAGTACAAAGTCTGCACCACCAGGGTTTCAGCTGTAAAGACAGCAGGCTTTGGCTGAACCCTCAATGGCCATACATGGGAGCGTCGCCAGACGGATGTGTCACGTGCACCTGCCATGGAACTGGTATCTGTGAGATAAAGGTAAGTTATTTGTTCAGTATTGTGCTACAGTAAAGCGGGTAAGTATAGGATTGTGACGTGATCCTGAGTCTGGGGATCCTCTCCCAATACATTTTGAGCTGCAGACACTTATTTACAGTACAATATATTACTTTTCTTTTCATTGAACTTTTAGTGCCCACACAGCAAACAAGAGGAGGCCAATCTTCGCCTGTGTGCTGGAGAACAGGGCTTCTGTCTCGTCAACGATGGGGGCACTGTGAAGCTGGACAGGAGACATGCCTACTACCATCAAATACAGGCTCAGCTCCACCTCGTTGATGTTGACTACTGCGACTTTGTTGTCTGGACTAAAAAGGACCTATTTGTAGAGAGAATTGTGCGTGATGTGGACCTGTGGGACAACATAATTCCCAGAGTTGAGCGTTTCTTCAGACTATGTGTTCTCCCTGAAGTGTTGGGACAGCAACTTACAAGGGGAAAGGTAAAAGTCATAAAGAGTTGGTGTGCTCATTTTTTTCCACAAGAACATGTTAGTGCATAACTATCAGGTGACTAAAAGCCTCCTTTCCCTGTTCCATTTTTCAGTTTCAGTTGCAAGATTATCAGGAGGGAGAGAAGGCGTGATTACCAGCACCTGTGGTCTGTCCTGGTCCCGGAAGTTGTGGTTCTCTCCTTGTTGCATTATTATTACGTGCCGTAGTGGGTGCTGGTGTGTGTGGGTGTCTTTTTCTCTCTCCCTCTGATCTCCCCAGGTGCTCCCAATCTCCAATCAGCGCCTCCATATAGGACATGAGGAAGGTTGCAGTCGCTCTCCCCTTATCTTAAGCTTTGTTTGACAAGTTGGCTGGTGAGCCCTTTTTCGTTGTGTTAATTAAAAGACCACTTTATGGCGTCAGAGATCAGTTTCCTCTCCTTTTTCTCTCGGCCGGTTATGTTGTGTGTCGCTACTTCCCTTTGTACCCCTATATTTACAAGGGAACGTAACATTTGCACAGTGGCAGCTCTTTAACCTGCATTACAGCACCTTCATATTCACTGACCACACTCACTAGAGGAAGTAGGGCTGTGTGATATATTGCTATTGTAAAAAAGATGTTTACTGAAAAGATTAAATGATACTAAGACTGAATAATACATGGTTTCTTATTTACATTTACAATAACCCTCAATGGCCATACATGGGAGCGTCACCAGACCAATTGTCATCTCTAGAATATTGTTGAATGAATTAAGCCTGAATGTAGATGAAAGTTGTATATTGAGTAGGGCTACACCATTTTCAACACAAAAAGATGTTTACTGAAAAGACTTGAACACAAGATGTTTGAACACAAAAATATGTTTACTGAAAAGATTAAATGATACTGAATAATACATGGTTTCTTATTTACAAGACTACAGCTCCATGACTTTACTCCAATGGGACGACAGACACTGACAGATTAGACAAGGCACAGCAAATAACCCCAATCTTGTCAATTAATGCTAGTGCCTCACCTGGTTTTGTTAGCATGTGCTCTATGGGTGCAGCCCTGCTTTGCAGAATCTGATATTTTCTTCTGACTAATCCTATGACTCTTTCAACATGAATACGCACATTAGCTATTTTTCTTGTCTCTTCCACCTCGTATGCTGACAGCTGACTTTTCCCCCTGGTGAATGCAGGCATCTTTAGTCTGAGTCTGAATCCCATTGGCATTGTAGCTTGAAGTACATGTCGCTCTGGCCACTCAATTATAAATTCTGTACTCTCGTGAAGTATGTCAATTAACTTATGCCAAATTCTAGAAGCAGTGGAGAGAGAGATGTTGAACCTGAAAGCCAAATCTTTCAGAGGGAGATTTAGTCTCAGCCTCAGCAAAACTAAAATGAATTGTTCAAATTTGGAAGGCCTTATGTCTGTGCTCTCCAAATTTGAACAGTTCATTTTAGTTTTGCATTATTTTTCTTTATAGTAGTCAGACCTTTAGTGGAATAACAACAAATGTAATTACCTAAGAATTATTCCTCTAAAACATCCCGCCACGTATCTACGCTCACAATCTGCAACCTGAAAAGATTGTTAGGTTACATAACAGTTTAATTTGTCATTTGAAATGTGAAATGACATTATTGGCAACATTTGGATATTCCTTAATCCCTTTAACTGTAGCAAGGTTTTTAAAAGTGCTGGAAGACCTGCCAAAATGTTTAATAGTCCCACGTAATGTCAATTATTAAAACAATTACCTTTTAGACACATTTGGCAGCTGCTGATGTGGATTTTAGGCTGTGACAAACAATTAATGTATTACACAATACATTATTAGTCATTGTGGTCTTATGAAAACACATTTATACTTAATATAATGTGCACTCTAAAAAATGCTGGGTTATTTCTATAAACACATTGCTGGGTTGATTTGGCTGGGTCATAATTATGGGTTATTTGCGTACTGTAAACACACTGGTGGGTTGTTCATGCTGGGTCAAAGGGGTTATTAGGGCTTCAAATGCAGTTGAACACCTGCCTGGGTTATTTTTAACCCAGAGGTTGCTTTATTCATTTTCCCACTTCTGAATCATTCTGGAATCATCTTTTTGTCATTTCTTACATCAAAACACACTGAAAAAACTGATTATGACCCCTTTTAGATGTTACATGTTTTAATCTAGCCTTTTTTAATAGATTTTAATGTGTTATTGCATCCTTCTTATCTTTTTTAATGAATCTTAACATATATTGTCACTGTTTAAAATTAGCTCATTTCATTCATTTAAAAGTAGGCTAATTATAAAAAAATATGTAAAATTACCACATATACTGTCCTGTCTGCGCATGTGCATACACAAGCAGCCCGCCACTGTTCCCTCCATTTTCCATTCGGAATCGGAAGGACCGGACTGGCTGCGTAGCTCCGCTGTCGTGAGGTGAACGTTCTCCACGGCTCTCCGTTTTAAGTAAGTAGCTCATTTATAGCCTTGGGTGTATTATATTATACTTTAAAAGGTTGCTTTATAGCTAACATTAACGCTATCGACTGTGTGTTTTGATAGATTAACATTAGCAACCATTAACATAGGCCTACAGCAGGGGATGTCCGGGGATGTGAGGACAGCGCGAGGACACAGACAGGGAGGTTGCTTTACTTCATAAAGGAAATGGTGGTCAATATTAACAACATAGGAGTTAAAACGCTTAATAACCTTCATTATGTGTTAGAGAAAGAATATAAGAAAGTTTGACAAAGATGAGGCTGTTAATCGGGCAGCGGATCCGCTGTGTGTAGAGAGAGAGAGACACGCGCTGAGCTGCACCGTGCAGCGATCAGCTGATGCGGAGCATAGAGAGAGCTGCAGTCCGTGGGGCTCGGCCTCGCCTCCTGTCCTCACAACTCTTATTAATCCCGGTACCGGACAATTGTTATTTGTTCCTACTCGGAACCGTGTTTTGCTTCCCAACCCTGCCACTGTGCTACACTTCCCGCCCCGCCCCGTCTAACTGTACAGAAAGCGGCGAGATGCATTTCCTTAGGAATCCAATCGACAAGCAGAACCGAAACTAACACTTCTAAACGAACAATGGCGGACACGTACAATTTGCGAATGAGTTCTGCCTTTTGTAAACTGAATGTATCAATAATTTGTCAATAAATCAGGCCGAAAAACGTCACTTGTCCGCCGGACAAGTCAATTGAAAGATCTACTTGTCCGATATTGTAAATAACACGTCCCGGACGGTGGGACGTGTACTTTTTCGCACACTGCAGTGGTAATATTAGGACATAACTAAACATGTGAAATCACGTTGGTAAGGGTGCTTTTGGTAACGTTACTCTCTGGCGGCAAAGGGTTAATGTTACCGCAGCTAACGTTCATATATAATCTTGTTTTTATAGGCGCTTTTACACCAGAGTACTTTTCCCCCCGAACTAGGCCGATAGGGGGAGGGGGGAGATTTGGTTTCACACCAAAAAGGATCTGGAACTAGTCCCTAGTTCGCGCAAACCTTATTTTCACCCCCAGATAGTCCCTGCTAGCGAGTTAGTACTTTCCTGAGGAGGAAATGGTTTGTGGGTGTGTCGGCCCCACTACACCGCAAACAGCTTCACGGCGTATACTGCCACCCGAAGTCCCCGGCCGGAGATCCCCGGCCGGAAGTCCCCGGAGTTGGGGACTGACTTCTACTGAAGCCTTCAGAGTAAATCGTCAGAAGCGCCGACACCTCCTCATCACTCCACCGCTCCCATGTATTCTTTTGTGTTGCCATAAGTTAGTCAGAAATTGTTAATGTGGCCGACACACCCACAAACCTTTTCTCCCCAGGAAAGTACCACCTCTCTAGCAGGACGGTCTGTTTATCGGTACTTGAGACATTTAAAAAAGACATGTCATATGTATTATTGCTACTTAAACATTATATTACAGTCTTAGTTTCGCCAACACCGTTTATAATATGCAATAAGACAAAATGATGTATGATGTATTTTCGATCTTTCCAATCCAGACGAGAGAGATCTCTCCCCTGTCTGTGTGCGAGGGGGTGGGGCAGTTTACACACACGCGGCTGCTACATGCATGCAACACACATGGTGGAGAGAGAACTAAGCGCTCCGAGGTGTGGTTACATGTTACCCGTCTTGAGGTGGACAATGCTCTTTGCCAAAAGTGAGAAATCATTTATTGCTTTTTGCTATAGAATAGAATATAATCATTTAATGCCATTATACATGTACAATGAAATAATTAAGAAAAGCTTCTCCCTTCCATCAAGTGCAATAACGGTTGAGCATGTAAGGGCACACAAGCAATTTGTGTAAACATTTAGCAAAAGTGCATCACATCCAGTCATATTTAGACTCTATTTAACAAAAAAAAAACGTTACATTGTTTGTCACAAAGGAGTTTGTAGGATTTTGAGTCATTGGCCTAACACAAGTTAATCATTGGCAATCAATTACCATTATTATTAGTTTTAATTTCTGCTCATCTTTATTTTTATTGCAGGTTTTGCTATCTGATGTTGGTGTGATGTGGAACAGAACCTTACTCACAGTACTCCATATTGATGAGGTAAGTTATATATTTCACATGGTGAATGTATGGTGAAATGCCTATTTACTGTACACATCGAGCTGATACAGAGCAACATGATCATACATTTGAAATGGTGTTTCTGTCCATCTGATAAGTCCAATATTCACTATCTTTTAGCTCTGTTTTCACTCTCCACCAACTCCTTAGTAAAATATTTGGCTCTTTAGTTGCTCAATGTTCCGCTTTCTTCACCAGCTATTCTCTAACTGTCTGTTTGTCTGAAGAAAACAGCTGCTGCTGGAATTGGGGTTTTCACTTTATAACTCAACATTTTACCCATTGTCAATTAAAAAAAGTATTAGCAAGGTTTAAACAACTATACAGCTTACAAGTCTAGTTCTGATTCCTTACAATTACCTTAGATTAATATAAATACTGGTTAGAACACACTGTACACCAATACACATCTTATCAAGGACTTGGTTAATGAGGAGGTCAAAATTAGAATCTATCCTTTAATTATATAGTAGATACAAAATATCATTACACCAATGGCTGAATGTGCTCTTTGTCTTCTGTCGTTTTGTTTTTGCAAAACAGATACATGCTGAATTCCAGCGCATAACAACTATCCCACTTGAAACAGCCTTCATGGCGCAGTTGGACAGCCATCTACCTCAGCTGACATCTGTCTTCCAGAAGAAGGGAGGAGTTGTTGGCCAGAAACTAGCCAAACATCTGGCGATCTTGCAAAAGGTAAATGTGTGTATACACTGTTTTATACAAATTGTCATATACTCTATCTATGGAGCAATTTTATGAAATGTACCTGTCTAGTAGGGGTGTTGAAAATAATCGTTTCTACGATGCATTGCGATGCGGACGTGGACGATTCGGTCTCGATGCAGTGACAGAAGATAATCGGTTATAGAGTAGTAACGTTGCTTCCTGATTTTCCGGCCGCGGCTTTACTATAACGTTTTTTTTTTCTGTCACTTTAATATCAAATCGGTCGGTGACGTAGAGATCAGGGAACAGACGTGACAGCGGCACAGCAACACCAAACACGGAGCAGTCTGCTTTATCCACCAACACAAGAACACCAGTCCAGAACCAAA